TGGGGGCGCAGGTCTGCACCTGGCCCTCACCTGGGTCTGACCTTGGCCTCTGCTTCCTTCCATCTGCCCCCTTCCTACGCCCCACTCACCGACGACCTTTCTAAAGCACAAAACAGTCGCCGTTGCCAAGGTGCCTGCCAGGTGAGCCGCAGGATGTGAGCTGGCTCATGTTAATTCCCATTCTACGCTCGGAGGCCCGGGCTGGGGGTCGGTGACACTTGCAAGGTTACACCAAGGTCAGGCTCCCAGGTCGGCTCCTCTTTCTGCTGAGCTTCTGGGAAACTCCTCGCTGTCCTTTTTTAATTTTTGAAAATTAATTTTTATCTTTTTATTGATTTCAGAGAGGAAGGGAAAGAGAGAGAGAGAAACATCAATGGTGAGAATCATTGATTGGCTGCCTCCTGCATGCCCCCTACTGGAGACCAAGCCCTCAACCTGGGCATGTGCCCTGACCAGGAATCAGACTGTGATCTTCTGGTTCGTAGGTCGATGCTCAACCACTGAGCCACGCCAGCCGGGTCTTGTTGTCTGTCTTGTTCAAATGCCTTCAGTGGGTGCCCAAGGCCTCACAAAAAAACCCCACCTCCTAGAGGAGCGCACAGTACCCCTAACTCTCTGATTTCTGCCTAAACTTTCTTAAACCCCACCTCCTAGAGGAGCGCACAGTACCCCTAACTCTCCGATTTCCGCCTAAACTTTCTTCTAATCGACTGCCACCGCCAATCAGGGACCGTCCAACTTACCCACACAGACCTGCTCATCTCTTTTCAGCGCTATAAACAACACTGTACAGAGATGAGAAGATATTATCATCACTGCCTTCTCTTTGTGAGGCCTGCTCTGCTTACATACATCGTCAGCATAGAACTACGACAGCCTCAGAGACACGTTCTGGCCACGCATTCTGTGCACGGGACTTAGGACTGGCCCAAGGCTGGCGATGCCCACCTGCGCCCAGGGTGCCCACTATCCTTGCCCACGGCCTCCTTGTTCCTTTCTGCTGATAGCCATCACATCAGCTTTCACGCGGCCTGCTGTGGTTCCGCCAAGGCCTTTGGTCGGTGTCACTTTACGGCTAAAACGTCGCTGACCACCCCCGGATGGAGGGGCCTCACTTCTATCTGCTCCCAGAGGGGAGCTGGGGAGAGGCCCCCAAATCCAAGCGTCCGGAACAATGAGCTTGTTATCCCACAAGGCAAACCCCTCTCGGATCACCTTGGCTAAGCTCTCCCTGGAAGGAACACGGAGACCCGGCCAGGGACGTGTCTCCCGGCGGGGCTGTGCCCGAGAGCAGAACCCACCTTCCCACGACCCCAGCAAACCCCTTCTGTCTAGCTTGACCTCTGCGTGGCCCTCGGGATGGAAGGGGAAGACGCGGGCGCAGGCTGCCAAGGCCCCCGGCCGCAGCCCCGGGACCCACAGTTTATTAGCAGACGGGAGCCACACAAGCGCCCTTATCACAGTCGCAGCTTTGTCCAGAGACAATGTTGCCTTTCAGATTGTGTTCCGCCCGGGACGGTGGATTTATAAACTGAACTGGTGACCGGGAACAGAAGCCCGGCTGCAAAGACTAAACGCCTTGTTCTCCGTGGGCCTGGGCGAGCGGTGTCCTGATAAGATAAACACAGATAATGAGCCGTGGGAGGGGCCTGCTGGTGTATATATAAACGTATATATATCCACGTCTCCACGTCTGCGTGCCGGGTGCACAGGCTGGGGTGGGGGCTGCTCTTCAGATCTGAAGGAGAAGCCAGATCGGAAGGAGAAGCCCGACCCATGTGGCTCAGTGGTTGAGCGTCGACCTATGAACCAGGAGGTCATGGTTCGATTCCCAGTCCGGGCACATGCCCAGGTTGCGGGCTCGATCCCCAGTGCAGGAGGCAGTTGATCGATGATTCTCTCTCATCATTGCTGTTTCTGTCTCTCTCTCCCTCTCCCTTCCTCTCTGAAATCAATAAAAACATTTTCTTTTTATTAAAAAAAGAAAAACACATTTTTCTGGATATCTTTCCAGAAAGGAAGCTGGATATCATTGTAAGATGTTCTTTTTGTCTCTCTGAACAGCTCAGAAATATACTGGCGTGGTCACCTCTAAAAGGAAGCCCTGGACCTGTCCCCCCGACCCCGTGTGTCCGTGTCGGGTAAGCAGGGCTCCTATTGTGGAAGCCAGCAATGACGTGTCTATGAGGTTTTTGATAACTGTCTCTTGTTTGTGTGTATGTTTACAAGTATCTATAATAATAAAAGCATAATATGCTAATTAGACCGGACGTCTTCCAGACGAAGCCGGGGCTGCGAGGGAAGCCCGGGTCCTGGGTGCCAGAGGGAAGCTGGTGCTGGCAGCCGGGGGAAGGAAGGCCTACTCTTGAAGGAAGGAAGGAAGGAAGGGAGGGAGGGAGGGAGGGAGGGAGGGAGGAAGGGAGAAAGGGAAGGGAAGAAGGGAAACACATTTGGCTGGATAATTACTGAAGCTGGGTGATGGGCATACACCTTTCATTACTGTAGTGTTCTTCCTGTATTTCTGTGCATAATGTTCCATGGTAAAAGAAAAAAAAAAAAAGACTGGCTGAGAGGCAATGGCTTCAAACCCCCCTCTCTTCTCCTCTCCTCTCCTCTCCTCTCCTCTCCTCTCCTCCATCCATCCATCCAGCAAATGCTATTTGTGCCACATACTGTCCTAGGTGCTGGGAGCGGTGTGGGTGGGATAGACGGGGTCCCTGGCCCCCCACGCTGACATTATCCCCATAGTTCAAATAGTCCGCCAATACGAACCCCGGGCTGGGCTGCCTCAACCAGGAAGGGCACCTGTGGGGTTAGGACTGGGGCGGGGGGGAGGGGGGAGGGTGCAGTTCTGGGCTGGCCTCTGTGATTCTATGCAGTCTGTTCCTCCCGGGAATCCTGGAGCAGGAGCGGGGAGAGGAGCCCCAGAAGTCCGCGTGGTGTGAGCCGCGGTGCGAGCCAGGACCTGGTTGTCTATGTCTGTCACTAACACAGCCGCCCCTCTAGACTGGAAGATATTTCCAGAGATGGCCCAGCTCACCCCTCGCCTCGGGGCTGCTGTAAACACTCCGGACACACAGCTGGCTTTATAGGTCTCTGGGTTCAGAGGACATAGAGCGAGGCTGGCATTCGAGCGAGGCCCGTGCTGAGGACACGGTCAGTGAGGGGCCGGGGACAAAGCCTCCTGTGCTGCTCTCCGCTGTGTCAACTGCACCCGCGTGACTCGTCCTGATGGGCGGGGGGCAGGCCGAGGAAACCCGAGGACCCAGCGTTCAGGCTGACACTTGTGTTCACCCTCAGAGGGCCGTTGTTAGAATCTGGGTCTGGGTGGGGCCCACACCTACAAACCAGCCCACGGGAGACCCCCGAGGGGTCGGCCTGCTCGGACCACACCTCCAACACCCTGCCCACGGCCAGGGAGAAAGGAGCGGCGGGGTTTCTGTGAGAACAGAAGGCCCTGGGAGAGGAAGGTCAGGATCGAGTTTCTCTGGTCGAGCTGGTGCCTCCCCCGTGAGGAGCCGCCATGCCGCTGCTTCTTGCCGGGACTTGGGCGAGGTTTGGGTGGGCCTCCTTGTTAGATGCCACGCTCGTCCCCTGCATCCTGGGCGTGTTCTGGTGAGTGTGACGGAGACAGAGAAGTG